CTTGCACAAACAAAACCACCCTCACTTTCCCACACATGCACACGAACAGCTATGCACACACATGCACTCAGCTGCCTGGAAATGCATCCATCTGCCCTCACAGCCAGGCCAACACAAAAGCACAAATGTGCTACCCATGTACAGTCAATTGCATCTGTGCCTACCAGATACCTAAACATACCTATCCATATGGAGCGGACTGCAGTTATATAATCACTTCTACACGTGTACATAGAGGCACACACCTACATAGAAGCATACAGACCCTCACATGTGCCCACAAGACAAACACCTATAAGAACACTGCCATGCATGCACACACATCCATATTCAGAGTCACTGGCATATTAAATTGGGCACACGCATTACCTTCTGCACACTTACATATACATGGAACCCAGATGCACACACGGGCTCCTGGGAACCTACTGACTGTTAGATTCAAAGAGCATCCATACATACATATACTACCCCAAGGACCTGTGCACTTTAAAACACACTTATGGACTCTCATAAAACACGCTGGCAGGCATAGGCAACGCGGAAGTGCTGACAGTTGGGGAGCACAACTCTGGATTGCCGCCACCACTACTCCTGCTGCTGCTGGATGTCAGGTCCAGCTTGGCTGCAGCCCCACACCCCACCATTGTCACAGAAATCACACCACCACCTCCACTGCTGCCAAGCCCTGGGTCCAGCCAGGCTGGAGCCCTTTGCCTAGAGCCACACTGTCAGCACAGAAGTCGGGGGGGGGTACGTTCCCCCCATATTCCTCTGACGTGTCGCCAATGCTGACAGGTACAGGTCTCAGGATTGGGCTGGCTGATCTGCATATCTCATTGGGGATTCAGGCTTTCTAGTGATACTGCAACACTAACTGATTTAACACAGTTGAAAGAAATAAAACTGAGAAGGAAAGAGCAGAGATAGCTATTGTGTTATTCAGGTCAGGGTCTCAGTTACATCCAGAAGACAAGGAATCAAGAATCTGGATTAATAGACTTCAAGGTCAAAAGAAACCACTAGAACATTTAGTTTTTCTCTTGAACAACACCAACTATAAAATCACCCAGTTACCCCTGTATCAATCCAGATATTCTTTAGTTGGACATAAGCTATCTTCCAAAAAGGCAGCTAGTCTTCATTAAAGATATCAGTAGACACAGAATCCAATCCACTTAGAGGTTGTTCCAGTGGTTATGTTGTTCTAGTCACCCTCACTGTTGAAATGTGGACCCTATCTAGTATTAATTAGTCTGGGTTTAACTCCAGTCACTAGTTTTTGTTATGCCTTTCTCTGTTAGCTAAAAAGACCTTCAGCACCTGGTAATTTAACCAAGTGAAGGTGCTTATACACTGTAGTCAAGACACTTGTTGATCTTCTTTGCTATAATAAAACAAACCAAGTTCTGGTTCTTCACTGTCTGAACAATTTTGTGACTCTTCACTGAACACTCTCTAATTATTCAACATCCTTACTGAAGTGTGGATATCTGAGCTGGGCAAAGCATTCTAGTGCCATAAATGGGAGAAAGAAAACCCTTCCTAACCACTGCCACCCACTTTATACATTCAAGGCTCACATTAGCCTTCTTTGCCACAACACCACACTGGAAGCTCAGGTTGACTGAATGGCATCCAGCTGGTCAAGATATTCCAGTCATTATTGATCACTACTCTGCCCTCATCATTATTCACTACTTTGCCAATCTGTCAGCTGCAAGTTTAATCAGCAGTGTTTTTATATTTACTTCTAGATCATTGATTAAAACGTTGGATACCATCAAACCTAGTACTGATCCCTGAAGAATTCCACTAAACCCACCCTATTTGATGATATTCCTCACTGACAAATGCTTTTTGTGATCTATAAACCAGCCAGGTCTTAAAGCATTTAACGTGTCCTTTAATGACACTGCATAGTGCTCATTTAAGGTGTTACCATACCTTGCTTATAAGTCAAGCACATTACAAAACTGTAAGTATAAACACAAAACTGTAAGTATAAATCTGTGCAAGTAAAGAAAACTTATCTCATCAAAAAATAAAATAATGTCTGTTTGTCAAGACATGTTTTCCATAAATAGAGGACCTTGCACACAGGTCCTTCATATGTGTATGCTCAGTGCACAGGTCCTTTATAGGGGCAGGTCTTTTTGCATTGTTTCCAACATACTGCAAAAATGGGTCCCAAAAGGTGCATGTTGCTGGTGACTACAGATGTGTGCAGGAGAGTGATAAAGAACTGCTGAAGCCCCTATGGTCACAAAGACCAATTAAAAAGACCCTGTTTGTTTGAAGTCTGTTTGAATTACACTAAAGAAAAACCCTTCTGTTTAAGAAAATGGACCGTGGTGAGTTTGTATGTGACAACAAATGCATGAGTGTTTGTATATGTCAATTTATGAGTGTGAGCCCAGAGAGTGCTCCAAAAATCTCTACCCTCAAATTCAGATGCTCATATAAAATTAGAGGAAGGTGAATATATCTATATAGAACAGGCGTATGCACACACATATACACACACGCACCCATTCATGCTCATGCATGCAGACACACATACACAGATACATCTGAAACTACACACAGTTCCTCTCACTACAACTCCTATAGCAAGGTTCACTCCTGCTATAAAGATGACAAGCTCCACTTCATACTCAGACATCCAGTGTAATCCATTCAGTGAGGGAAAGACAGGTGTTAAAAGAAAAGCAACAATGAAGATGGCACTTGTTCACCCATGGCAGAAGGACCGAAGTCCAGGTGCTAGCAGTGAACTTTATTCTATATACAGGAGAGAGGAGAAAGTGCCAGGTGGCCACCTGAATTTATTACTGCATTGGAAAAAACTCCAATGACAACTAGGGTATAAAGCCAAGGGAGGAGTCTACAAACAGCTGGAAGAACTGAGGAGGGGAGGGAGGGAAGGAGAAAGAGCAAGAGAGTGTGAGTGAGCATGGCTTCGCTATACCTTTGGAAACATTCCATCCCCTCCAAATTAGGACAGTGAATCAGCACAGACCATAATCCCATTTTTCCCCCAACGGCAGGAGATGATGACTATTCATTCTTGGCAAATGTCTAATCAGGTTTCCCTCTTCTGGTCCAGCATTTATTCAGACCCTCTCTGCTCCACTTAAACGGGAGTAAGACCTATTACAAGAGGGGCAGTAACACAAGGTGGTGTAGAAGGATACAGCATCTTCTAAGAGTAAGGAGTTTGACTTATTTCAAGCTATTCAGGGTATCCTACCAGGATGGCTGGGGTATATAGAATATTTTTCATGAATGAAGGAAATGAAACACACAATGTGTGAAAGCGAGAAAGATGGAAGTAGAGGGAGAAGCGTGGGAAATGCACAAAAAATAACAGAAAATTAAAGGCACATAGAGAGCAGGGCAAGAGCACAAGATACACAGCAGAAGCGTGCAGACATCCACAGGCACTGCCAATGGGATTGCTACCCTCTGTGAGGTGGCAGTGAGACGTATGTGGACAAGTCACCGTGAGAGCCGTGTCAGGGGCCAAAAGAAGGGACACGGTGAAGGCACTGAGAAGGTAAAACCATTTGCACACTAAAAGGAGTCAAAAGAAACTGATCCTCAGCCTCTTCAGACTCATCCACTTCTGTTCCTTTTCTGGACTTGATACAGTGCCTGGCAAAGAGCTTTCCCTCGTTGAAAAGGCAGCACCCAGAGAACCAGGGTGTTATCATAGGAGACACACCAGGCATCCTTGGACATACACCATCACAACCCATCAGATAGGCTGCAATTACAAGAGAGGTGGACAGCCTCTTAAGTACAACATCAGCACCCACTAGAAATGGGGCATTTCCACAGTGGGAAAAACTCCTTTACACTCAGACAGGAAATTCCTGTTCATTATTTGTTTTACCATTCTACTTCTTTTGGTTCCTTGGGTTGAGGTGAAGGACCCAAATACTAAAATTACCTTGGTTCTTCATCAGCTCCTTCTTAACGCTCCCTTAGCAATGCACTTGTGGCTGGAAAAAGATGCCTTCTTATCCCGGAGTATCAAAATTATACACATGAAACTAGAGTTAAGGGAGATCCAGCCCTACAATACTTATGGTGGTATGTGAAGTTGCATCCCATGAGCTCTATAGTGTAGAAAGTGCCCTTGGGATTCATAGTTCAGTTGAAGGAGTGATATATGTGTGTTTGCAGGAGAAGGACTCTCCCTTTCCACCATATGATCTTATACTACTCTCCAAGCCAGATGGGCAGTGGCATAACTAGAGCATTGATCTGGGGGTGGTGGGTAGGCACTGGAAAAAAAAAAAAAAAAAAAAAAAAAAAGGTTCCTGCTGGCAGCCCCATGATCATAATTGGGACTGTGGTAGCAACCAGAAATCACCACTGCCCCCGTGTCTGGTTACATCCTTATGCTGCTGCAGATGGGTACCAGTTGGGGAAGCAGTGGCTAAAGAGGGGCAGGATACAAGGCATTTGCACATCCTGGATGAAGTCCTTTCTTCCTCTCTTTTGAAACAATTTGTATTTGGAGAGGAAGAAGAGCTGATAACAAGGTAGATTCCCAGATATGGCCATCATTGGGGCATTACCATGAAACACATTCTTCCAGCCACTCACTGCAGTCTCATTCCTAGCAATTCTGGGTTCCACAGATACCAATGTTATTGCTTTGATTAGGCTTGTATGGCATGATGTCCCTTCACTACAGATCTCTCTGGCCCTGACTGAAGTCTCTGGGGAGAAGAGGATGACCATCTGTTTCAGAGAACTGCCTCCTCCCTCTCTCTCCTATACAAGCAAAATCTCAGTACATAAGAAAAAAAAATAAAGGAAAAACATGATCCCAACTGTAGAACTGAGTCAGACACATAGGGGAAGGCTTCACATACTCCAAATGGCACTTGCCTGCTCTGTGAGCCAAGGTGAAGGAAGCATGGCTAGAACTGCTACCTGAAACTTGGATTCTCTCCACTTCTGCATAATAGCATTTAAAGACTTACCTGGGGACACCAGGAGGAGCACGGTTGGGCCTAGATGGAACCTGAGGTGGGGGCCCAAAAGGATCAGGGGAGGCACCTGGCCTGGAGGGCACAGGGGGAGCACCACCCAGTGCGGATCCACCAGCAGGAGGAGGTCCAGGAGCCGGGCCTCGAGACAAAGGTCTGGCTGGTGGAACAGCGGGAGCTCTCCTCTGTGGTGTAGGGCTGGACGTAGGAGACCTAACAAACAAAGAGAAGTTCAACTGCAACCACAGGCACATATGATAACCTTCCAACCCTTATGTCACCTTCAAATTCTGTACTGCCTTCAGTACCACTTCAGTACCCATTTTGCCTTCTCCATTCTCTCTTCCAGACACCTCCAACCCCTGAGTCACCTTCCAAATCCCTCAAACAGTCTCCCCATAAGAAGAGCATCCAGCAGCCCAACATCTCCTGCAAGACCCCAGCACCCCCTATATACATTAAGGTCACAGCACCCTCCATGTAAACTTTTAGTATTCCAAAATCTTTCATCACCCTGGAAGCCCTCATATTCCAGAAGGAGGCTCCATCTGGCCCTTAAAGAGGCATCAGGCAGGTCTGTGGGGCTCTCCCCCTGAGCCTCTGGTACCTGCGTCCAGATGGTATGTTCTGCACCTGCAGCCAGGAGTCGTCCACCGGCGGAGGCATCGGGGTGCTGATGGTGGTGGTGTTAATGTCCCCTATGATGTTAAGCGCCTCCTTCAGGGCATGGTACATGCGCAGCATCTCATCACGCCGCTGGGCCTGCTCTGCTGACTCTTCCATGAGGGTGTTTTGATCTCCACAAGAATATAGGTTTGCCAATAACTCTGAGTGGATAAAATCCTTGGTCTGTAACAGGGCAGAAGAAATGAAATCATAGTAACAAAGCCTCTTCTAAATCATTTCACCTGCAAAGGCTTCTTCTCTACTTATCCCTCCTTTCAACTCACTCACTCTCTGATCTACCTTTAGTTTATCACTTAACTCTTTCTGTCTATTTCTCTCCTTTTTCCATTCAGTTTCTCCCACATTCCTTAGAGGGTTGGGCAGCATGATACCTACGTTGTTTATCATGAGATGCATAATGGTCTTAGGCATGAGGTCTCGGATGGTTTTGTTGACAATTCCCATGTAAGAGTCCACCAAGTTTCTGATGGTTTCCACTTGTCTCTCCAGTTGAGGGTCCATGGAGTGCATGAAGCTGTCTGATCCATTTTCTTCCGTTTCATTTGCCTGTAAAGGGAGTACAGAAGGGAGGAGCAGGGATTGGAAAGAGATAAGACAACTCTTTAAAAGAAGAGGGGCCACACAAGCAAACAAGAAACAACTAGGGAGAGACTGGGGAACTTCACACAGCAGCACAGGTTACACTTCAATGTATTTGTTGTGTTATAACAACTCCCAATACATTGCTCAGCTTGCAAAGCCATTTAAATTTTCAATGGCCTGATTTCAATTCAGAGAAAGGACCATAACTTTGAGTTTTGTGTTAGCACAGTCCATCCTACCTCTGTACAGAACAGGTAGCTAGTGGACAAGTGGCAAGTCCAGTTACTAAGCATCTTTAGTGGCATGCGATTTTCCTTAAAAAAAAAATCAGCCATTACCTATTGTGCCTTTGAATAAAAATGTATTCAGGAGGTGTGCAAGCACACGTGCACAAGTGCATCAGTGTGCTAGGATAGATGGACTCAAATGGTGTATGCAGATACAGCTAGTGTGTGCAAGAGTTGAACCCCATACACTAGTGTATGTAAGGGAAATGAATACCAATATATCAGTCATTGCTCCAGGGAAATTAACCCAAATACACCACTATGTGCCAAAGGGCAAGTGAATATCACAGACAATATATGTAAGTAATTATATGTGTATGTGTAGGCATATCTGTATGCATTTATTCTCAGGTGTAAGATGTGAGCATAGCATGGGTAGATTGATACCAGGGTACTAATATTTGGAAGCAGTGTTAGTTAGGATTCCAGTTCTATCAGCCAGCTCAGGCTGGAACTCTAAGCATGTGATGTTTTCTTCCCTGATAAGAGGAATAGGGGAAAGGGTGCTATTTATAAAACAGTTTAATAGTCCCTGATATATCACTTGCTATCTAGCCAGGGATGTCTAATTTGCCCATCACTGGGTGCGTCTACACGTGCACTTTAATGCACACTAAAACAGGCTAATGAGCATTAAAGCATCACAAAAAGTGTACTTTGGCTAATGCACATTAATATAGGCTAATGCACCTTTTTCTAGTACTTTACAATGGAGGTTTTAATGCGCGTTAGCAGAAGTGCACTAATGAACATGTAGACACATCAACCACTGTTACAACCAAGCTAAATCACAGTGGAAGGAGCAGCTATAGCTTTAAGAAAGGGTGCTCATCCTTGCTGTTACTGCACTTGACAGACAAGGGGAGATGAAAGAATGTACATGGTTTGGAGGAAAGGACAAAATGAAATAACCCATAAAGATGGGGCGAGTGACTGGCTGCAATGCTAACTCTCTGCCAAAGGGAGATGGAGTTCTACTGAGAAAGTCCTTGACAGTGATAATGTAAGGAAGAATAGCTTCTTTGCAAAAACAGCAGTCTATAAATCACAAAATGCTCAATACCTAAACACAATAGCACAACAAACAGTCAGGCCTCCCTAGACAAGGAAGGGGTTCCAGGGAGGGAAATGTTTTAAAAAAAATTATGCACTATGAATAGGATTTTTTAATCAAGAAGGCTGTAAAAGCTTTTCAATCTCATTGCTGAGCCATTTCCCCTCAATATTCCATACAGTCAATACTTCCTTTTGTAATTGTAATTATTATTTCTTACCTTTATAATGGCCTTCAGCTCAAAAGATTCCAAAGTACCTTAGAAATTTTGGAGCTGATCCTGCAGCTCTTGCATATTGACACCAAAGCAACATTCATATAGAGTGTTTGTAAAATGTTACAGCTAGAACAGAAGCATTTTACACTATATTTGAACTGAAGTAAATGTCTACGTAATCTGCAGGACAATGGAGACTCTGGCCTAAGGTTCACAGGACTGGCTCCTGCTTAATATTTGCTGGTTAAAAAGCTGTAGGGATGTTCACTACAATCTCCTGTTTTCATGCGATTATAAATCCCTGAACATTTCTCCATTTGGCCTGATGTCTTCCATGCCTCTTTCTGGTGATCAACAAACATTAACAACAAACCTCTCTGTGAAAAGGGGAGCCCTAATACTCCTTGCATAGATGGAGAAACTGAGTTACAAAGAGTAAGTATAGTCAAGGTCTTTTAGTGAATCAGTGGAACAATCCAATTCTAACTCCAAATCCTGAGGCAAAACCACAAGCACCTCTTTTCCCACATGAAAGCATTTTGGGATTCTTTAGCAAAGATATACATGCACATAGGCACAGAGTGAGGAGGAGAGAGATCCCTTTACCCATAAATGCAATACAACAGACAAGACAACTATCTCTAGAGGGAAACCTGGTAACTGTTTAACAGTGCACAGCAACACAATAGCATATTTGAAAAGACTCATCCATTTGGGATTAATTTAAATTCAGTTTTCAAAGCAGGAAGGATGTTGCTGTTCATATATTAATATGCTATTTAAAAGCTCTATTTTTTTAATATTCCTCTTTCAAACTCTCCAATCTGAAAGACTTGCAGCAGTTTAGGATGTGGAGTAGAGCATTATACTGTTTCCAACTGGAGGGAAAACAACCCAGTAAAGAATGGATTATTTTCTTTTATTCTGTCTGTTTCCCCTGGGTTTTTTTGTTTGAACTTCTGCTGGAAGGATTTTAAGTATCCCCAAAAGGATGGATGGTCCCACAGTCTAAGAAAAAAAGGTTTTGAGAGCTGGAAATCAGACATGACGACTCAAAAAAGGAGGATAAAAAGCAAAAAATAATGTTCTGATGAAATTCAGAAATCAAACACCAAAGAGCAGTGATAAAAAGAGAAAAAGGAGAACCCAAGCCAAGAACAGAAACAAACAGCAGATGAGCTGACAGAAGGTATAAAGAGAGAAGGAGGAGGAGCAAATGCCTCAGGAAACAATGACAAAAAGGAAAAAGGAGAAACTGAAAAAGAAAAACAAATCAAAACTAGCTGATAAGAGCCCCCAAGGGGCAACATAGGTAGAGATGGTATCACTTACTTTGTCTTTGTCCTGGGCAGGTCAGTTTGAGCACAAAAACCACCAAGAACAAAAAGGGACAAAAATAAGAAAAAAGATTTTAGTTGATTTCAGAGGCAGAAGCAACTACTATACAGTAGCACTGAATGGAACTAAGGCTGAAACCCCCTCAGAAATACAAGCCAAAAGGGATTAAGTCAAGCCCTGGGCCACTGAGGCCAAATGGATTGGTAACTAAATTGAAACAGTCAAAATGGGAACCTCTGCAAAGGAACATGGCTCATTATGCATGGATGTCAAGGGAAAGATACTTAGCTACAATAGCTTCTCATTACTTCCTCCTCAGATGGGCTCTTGCACTCGGGTATTGATAGAAATTGCAATGCTTCAGAAAAGTATAAAATATTCCAAATAATTCCTTTGCATCACCAATAGATGAGACATGTCCTTTACTGAGCATGGACTATGCTGCTCCTGGGTCTGGTCCAAAACCCAATGAAGTCACTGGGAGTCTTTCCATTGATTTCAGTGGCTTTGGGCAAGGCCCATAGTCTCCCTACTCCTCAGTTGCTTTCCCACCAAAGTGGTTATAGGATGAAAACCAACCAATGCAAAAAATGATCTTCAAGTCTAGGAGGAAAGATGGATGAACCTCTACCAAGAAACACAAATGTGTTAAAAATTGTCAAGTCAGTAATTATCTATTCTAATGGTAAGCTTTTATCATAGCTTTCCTCAGTCTCAGAGACTGAAAAGCCTCAGGCCTCTCTCTCGGTATACAGAGTGTGCAGTATGGTATATAATATACTGCTACTCGGGATATTTTCTAGAGAGAACTGAAGGCTGGTAGTTAAAGAATTACAGGAAAGTGTCAGGGGAAAACAACATGGCATCTGCATGGCACAAGGAACCTTTCTACCATAGGGGAATAAGACATCTAACAAGAGTAATATAAAAAAAATCCCTGAACAGAAAACATAGTGCTAGCAAAGCTATAGAGCTCTTAATCGGCAAAGATACTGAAAGGTTATGACTCTGGTTACCATTATGCCTCAGTTTGGGGGAGACAAACCATCAAGTGGTGAGGCAGTTAGGATTTCAAACGCTGTTTGTTGTTTCTCTTCATTTTGTTGTTTCTCTTCATTTTGGAACACAAGCCCAAAAGTGTGGAGCTAGAGAAATATTTTCAGGAAGATTCAATAACTCCTGTCTTCTCAACTCTTCTGAGTAGAGGAATGTTTGTCACTGTTGAACTAAGCTACTTCCACAATCTAAGAAAAACTCAAACTACTGGACATCCAGCCCATACAAGAAAAGAAAAAGGAAAAAAAAAAAAAAAAAGCTAGGTCTGCCTTCTCCCACTTGGAAGTTAGTAATGGTTTAATTCTACCCACCCACACCAAGGGAAGAAGCAGTGCTTATCAGAGGATAACAACAGCAAGAAATTCTATATGCCACCCAGATCTACCCTACCACAAAAGGTGACAGAAATAAGGCCATTGCAATGGGTTGTTTGCTTGGGTTTTTTTTAATAAAAAGAGGTCATATTTCAGAGATTTCTCCTAAGACACTTGTACTCATTTCTTTGTCATCCCCTGTTATTGCTGACAACCAAATTCCCAACTTACCCCAACACGCTCTGGGTAAACTCCTGCACGCAAGAAGGAAGCTTTCCAGCTGTCAACCTCCTCCTGGGTCTCGCAGGCCAGCTCCAGCTGCCGATAGTCTTTGTAAACGTTCCTAAGAAATGAGACAGAAAGATTACTTCACTCCTCCATGGCAAAATAAACCCCTCAAAAAACCCATTTGCTCATCTCTACCAATGACCCAGGCACCAGACCAACTCAAATCATAAAGAGACCACTCTTGGCAGATTTGAGAGAAGGATTCCCTTTTCGAAGTCATTCACTCTTTGGCTTCTTCACACGCTACTACAGTCCCTCTAATTCCTGGGACCTTCTTTATTAGCTCACTGAAGAAAGTCATGTTGGACTAAATCTTTAAATGTTGACGACAGACAGCCTGGCTAACTAAAAGTTAGAGTTGCACTGCATGGTACATGCATGTTTCCTAATGGCATACCCATCCCATCTGGACAGGCCATTACTTCCAAGAGGTCCCACCCGTCCACTCCCTCTCCTTTGGAAGGGGAGTCTGGGGGAGGCCCAAACATGTTCTGGAGAAAGAAAAGCACCTCTGCTCAGTGTTGAAGAGAGCAAAGATATGTTTGCTGGACATGAAACCTTTCTCAACATCCCGCAGCTTCAGGTTATCCACTGGCAGCATGTATTTCTTCTCCTTCTCCTGAAAAAAGAGGAAAAACAGCTAGTTATTCATTGCCACAGACAAAACCCTCATCTACGCAAGGAGTCAGTCAGCATGGAGCTGTCAAACCAACTCCCCCATTCACTCCAAAATTCAATCTCCTCTATAGTGTCCATCCATCCCTCAAGCAGTCAGCCAGTCACAAAACATTCACAGCTTAAAATTTCCCTTTTCTCTCTGTCGGCCAGGCACAGGGCACTCAGCCAGGCATCTTCTTCTCACAAGCAGTCAAGGCGTTTGTACACGTCACCTTTTTTTTTGCCCTTTCTTGCACTCCAACGGTGTGACCGTTTGCACAAGTGGGTTTTCCAGACATTTTAAAAGTCCCTCATGCATGAGACTCCTCAGACATAGCTTAGCTTGGCTCTCTGTGAATTAAAGCGTTGCGTCCATGGATTCGTTACGTGCAAACACAACTTGACTCCACAGTGGTCTCAAGGAGTCAGTCAATAATCTCACAGACAAATTCCTCAATCCATTAAAAAAAAACAATAATGTTCTGATGAGATTCAGAAACCAAAAAAAAAAAAAGCCAGGAAGCAGGGAGTCTGACTCCATCATTGCCTCAGTCAGCAAATAAGCCTCTTCAGCCCCACTCCAAAACCTTGTCCAAGAATCAGTCAGAAAGTGGATTTCATAGCTTCATTCTACCACCCCTTTAAGATCATCAGACAAGCTCTCCCAGTTCTTTCAAAGAGTGACCAGGCACTCGCAGACCACTTCTTCCAAGCCCTCAAGCAGTGCAGGGGTCCCCACAACCCAAATCCCTCACTCTTTCAAGGAGGAAGACCTCCCAGCTCCACTCCACTATGCTTTCTAGGGGTCAGTCTGCAAGGGAGCTTCACTGCTCAACTTCCTTTTACTTTAAAGACTTACCCAGGAATTAAGCCCTCAGAGCAGGGCTCTTCTGTCCCTTGAAATCATCTCTCAGGTTCAGGAATCTCACCAGCTGGGTCCTCCCAGTTCCCTCAAGAAAATCAGTAAACAACAGGGCCCTGGTAAGGGGCCACCACAGTTTAGCTCCACCATCTTCTCAAGGAATGAGTCCATAAGGGAATCTTACAACACCTCCTTCTCGTGTGTTAATTGGCAAGGGTTTTTCTCCCTTTGAAAAGACCGTCAGTGAAAGGGTCTGGACAGTTAACTCCACTGTCTTCTCATGGCATCCACCTGCAATGAGGTTCTCACAGTCTAACTCCTGCTCCTGTTAAAGGAAACGGTCAAGAACCAGGTTCTCATAGCTGGGCTCTTCCATCCTTTCCAAGGGTCTGTCAGGAACAGAGATCTCACAGGCATTATCCTTCATCCTCTTGATGAACTAATTAGCAAGGACAGCCAGATTCTCCATTCTGCCTAGGGGTGTCAGCCAGCAACAAGGCCCTCACAGTCCAAACACAAGGGCTACAGCCTGGTTCCCCCAACCCATTAAACAGGCTGTCAATAGCGGGTCATTCACAGACAAATACCCTAATTTTCTCAAGGATTTAGTCAAAAAGGGGTCCCTGTAACACAATCCCTTCATTCCTGAAACAAGTCAGCCAGCTTGGCAAACCTCCCAATACAACTCCCTTATTCTTTCAAGCAGTCACTCAGCCAAGGGGCCCTGCTTTCCAACACTATTGTCCACTACCTCCCAATTCAAGAAACAGGGAGGCAATCACAGCTTGGGTCTTTTCATTCCTGCAGGAACTCAGTTAAGGGGCCCTCAAAGTCCACATTTTTCATCCATAAAATGAATCAGGTCAGCAAGAAGAACTTTGTAGCCTCAATCACAGCAGAAGCCCCTCAGAGTTACGCATCAGCCTGGGCCTCACAGCCCACCTCTGCTGTTCTGTCAAGAAATTCAACTAGCAAGGAGGAATTCACAGCCCGGCTCTGTATCACTTCACCTGCAACTGGTCCTCACAGCCTGGCTCCTCCAGCTCCTCAAGGAGTCAGTCAGCAACCAAGCAGTCACAGCTCAATTTTCCATGCCTCCAAGAAGTTAAGTCAGCAATGCTGCACTCTCCGTATAGCATCATCATCCTATTAAAGCAGTGGTTCTCAACCTTTATGGATTTGAGGCACCCCTCCATAACTTTTGTAAATTGTGACACCCGTTTTCAAAGAAATAAATGTATATATTATAATACTTACCTCCTTGCAGAGAGGCCAGGCAGGGACAAACCTGAGTTTATGAATATCTCACACCCTGTGGCACCCTTCAAAGGATCTGGTAGCAGCCCAGGGCACGTGGCACTTTGGCTGAGAATCATGGCCACTGGGCCATCTCATCAGATACCTTCATCCCCTCAATGGAGCATTTACAACCAAATACATGCTTCCTTTCTATCTAATAGGTTTAGGATTTTATATCACATTCGGTGCCTTCGTATCTTTTCTGTGCTTCCTTCTTCGAGTCTGTGTTAGAGAGCCTCTCTCAGTGACCAGCCACATTCATAATGATGCCATCCCTATTCTTCTTTTTTATCCTACATGGCACATGGCTTTTCCCACCCCACAATTCCTCACCCCCTAGTTCCACTGGAATGCAGTGGGCTTGTCTATAGGTGTGCTTTTTTAATGCTCATTAGCCTATTTTAATGCATATTAAAGCATCCCAAAAAAACCATGCACTTTCGCTAATGTGCATTAAAATAGGCTAATATGCCTTTTTTCTATTACCTCACAATGGAGGGCTTTATTTACACCTGCAAGCACCACAGCACTGGGGGCTTTGAAAAGTGTCTGTCGTTGCTACACCTGCAATTGTATATGTGGCGAAATGCGCATCAGCGCAAAGAAAATGGCGGTAGTGCACTTTTCAACTAAAACGCTTCAGAGATGCTTTGTTCAAAAGTGCACCACTGCCATTTTCTGTGCGCTGATGCACATTTTGCTGCCTACGCAACTGCACACGGCGCTGCCCAGTACACACCAGCTCACAAGAGAAGCAGACTCGATTAATCGAGTCTGCTCCGAAGCGGCGGATCTCTGGCACGTTGCAGGGCACAAAGGTATGTGTATAAATGCCCAGAGGTACTCAATTTAACGCACATTAGCAGAAGCGCATTAATGAACATGTAGATGCACCCAGTGCCATCTTCTTGTAAAGTATCACCAGCCATCTGATGGGGGGGGGGGGGGGGGGGTGTTTTTGTGT